GTTGTCATATGTACATGCCGACCGGCGGTACCGACGGCCGCACGGCATGCATTGATGCCGGGCATCTGTGCGGCACCATAACCGGCAGCCATCCGGCACATGATGGGTAAGCGTTATTAAGAGCGGCACCCTATCCTAAATAGGAGCGGCGAGACCCGCTTTTTCCGATGTCTTGTTCTCCGGCCACTTCCGGCGCCCGGGTCCGGCGGCGGCGATACTGCTACAGCTACTCGAGCGGTCCATTTGGGTGCCGGAAGCGCTTGCCAAGTTGACGCTTCTCTTTCGCTACGAGTCGCGGAACGGGGAGGAGGTCGTAGACGCCTTCCTGCAGTCGGGTGGCTTGGCAACCTTGGCCAAGCTGGCAAGCAGCTTTGCCCAGAACGCCGATGTCCCGCTGGCAGCGCTCTTCGACTGCATCCAGCACGCGGCCGAGCACCTTCGCCTTGCAAAGGCCATCTGGCACGTGCCCGATGGTGGCCCGAGGGGCACAACGCATCTTCTAAGCTCTGCGCTAAGGGCCGCAGGGCTCAATGTTCGCTTGCTGAGTCTCGACACTAATTACTGCGGCCGAATAGGCAGCCATATCGAGATGCTGCCGAGTGTGTGCGATTTGAAGGCTCCTTCGGCAGGCATCGTCAAACACGTCTTACGCGTGCTCGATGATGTCGAGATGGCAGAGCGTAAGGAAGGCAACTGGCGTGCCAGGGCCCTGGGCTGGGCCGCACCAGCAAAGACCATTCTCCGTGTCTTCTTGCGGGTCCTCCCTTGCTCTCTTGAGATGCACAAGCTGATCAAGAGCAGGCTGGTCGACATCTACGGAGAAGGCCAGTCCGAGCTTTTTGGAGACTGGGGGGTCGGTGATGGGGTCGTTGAGATGCAGACAGTGCCACCTAGGGTTGTCCTTGCAGCCCCACCTCCTGTTCGAGCCTCCCTGGAGGAGCGTGCCCCTGACAGCAACACGCATGGTAAGCCTTCACACGTCGAACAGCAGCAGTGTCGGACTATAAAATGCTCTGGGCTGTTGGTAGTTGAGATTGACCATCAGAACGAATGGGGTGCTCAGACTCCGGTGGATAATTCCCTCCATTGCGACGAATTCTGTGCCCAACGCAATTGGAAGGCACAAACGCATACTGTTTCACTGCATGATGCTGCTTCAGAAGGATCACCAACCCTGAGCAACTCAAGTCAAATATATAGGTGACGAGGAGGTCGATGAGGGAGGCAACCGAGCACAAGGACAGCAAAGAGGCGGCGAGCAGCAGACAGCGCACAACAAACCACCAAGCGGGTATGTTTTTTTCAATTGTCGCTCCGATTCTTCTTCGCTTTCACTTGAGATAAGGATTGAGATTGTGCTGTGCCCCAATTCTATGTTCTCTCAAGGGCATGACAATGGACATCGACCATGCTTTGTCAACGACAACTTTCTTGACTTGACACTTGAGATTGAGTTTATATAGAGACAGGGATGTCGTGCGCTTTTACTATTTGGACCATGCTTTGCAAGCACTGCTAATAGCTGGCCTTGTCGAAAACTTGGTCAAGTCAGGCCTTTTTGCGTGAGTCCTATGCAGTCGACGTCCTGGTGTTATCCAAGGAGAGGGTGCTCGTAGCTTCTTTGGTCCGGCACGCATACATAATCGAATTTTTGGATTTTCGCGGACTCCTCGGATTAGCAGGCGGCCGGATGCTATGCCCATTACGGCTCCTAGTCACGGCTCTCATCACGGCACCCAAGTCGTTAACGAATTGGCGCCGATGAAGAGCTTCGGTTATGAGATCATGTAACACAAAGCACCGAATTTGATGCAAGGGGCTTTGGTTGCAGTGAACCGTCCAGGGAGGACTCGACGACAGAGCTCGAGCTTTGGCCCGCTCTACCCGAGGGACTGCGGAGGCCAACAGACGTGCCAGGGATTGGTTTGACCGAAAAACGGTAGGTGATTCCTCTGCTGCTAGCAAAGAGTGGTCAAGTCGCTCTCGTGCTTTGCTTCTTGTCTCCCATGGCTGTTGCTTCTGTGTACGTCTGTCTACAAGCATCCATAAGCCAGAAAGATGCAACTTTTGTTTGGCCTTGGTGAGCTCTACTGCAAGATCTCGTTGAGCTTGTTGCAGGGGCGGAACGACGGCCCACGACAGCCCGACGAAGCACAGTAAGGACATTGCGGTCAACGACGCCGAACCGGCGTCTCTCAAGAGGACCTGGGAGCACGACGGCAGACTGGATGCTTCAACTGAACCCTTGGAACTTCCAGCAAAGAAGCGCTTTGCCGGAGTCCGAGAAGGTCCAGTTGGGCACGTGTTGTTGCTGCAGATCCCTGCACAAGTGGAGGACGGAGGTGGTAGTATTGGATGCGACCTTCACTCCTCGTCAAATGCTCGGGGCACGCCTGAGGTGGCAGACAGGTGGACGTCAGGAGGAGAGCCTTTCCCTAAGCTGAGGGAGGATCACGAGGAGATGGACAGGTACTTTCCGCGTCTGGTCACACCAGCAATCTTGGGGGACCTCACCACCCTTTGGATTGTAGCAATCGTAATGAAGAGCCACCTTGACTTCTTCCTTGCTTATCATGGGTGACTTGCAGCACGTAGCAGAATCAGTTAGGTCGCTATCTGCTCACAAGGGGTCATTTCTTTAGACCAAATTGCACACTATGTTGGTGCCCGTTTCTCCCTGTGCACAGGCCTGCCGAAGTGATTGTGGACGGAAGGTTGACCCAGAGGGCGCAAGCACCAGGCAAAATCCTCGTGCGAGCAGAATTGTAAGTGGACGGGTCCTTGCATTCTCAGGTGCCCACAAGTTCGAAAGTGCTCCAATATGTTCACTGATGCTCTCAAAAGGTTTCCGCCAAATTCTGGTGCTAGCTGACCATGTTTCTCAACAGCCAAAAAAAGGGGTTTTAGCTGGTAAAAGCAGACATGGGTCCACTCTTCATATGACACCAGAGGCTCCACCGGCTGGGCGGACCTAAAAACCGGTGCCAAATGTTGTTAAAGGACCATATAAGACGCCTGCAAAATTCTGTGGACGCCCCCGCGGTGGAGCCCCTATGGTCTGCTCGCGACTGGAGCTCAATTATTTTGCCTGGGTGCTTGCGCCGTCTGGGTTGACCCCTACAAGCACGAGCTCGGCACATGTACCTGCGTGGCATCGCATCCCGTAGTAGCAGCCGCCTTGGCTTCTTCCGTCTAGCTGGACTTAGAGCTTAAACTACAACCTGAGTTTTGCTCACACCTGAGGCTGAATATAAACCTTGACTTTTAGAATGTGGAGCTAAGAGAAGTTCCTTGCATGCAGAGACCTGGAGGTCGTTGACAAATATACCCAGGGCCTGCGCACGGCCGAGTGTTTCGAGGAAGTGAAGGCCAAGCACGTGGAACTCAAGTCCATTGTGGCTGCCATCATCAAGGTTATGAATGACATCATCGGGAACAAAGTTCCTCGATCGAAGGCCATGAAGAATCCAGAGACCGTAAGTACCTCTCCTAACTTCTCGGTGACTGTAAGGAGTTTGTCTGGTGCAACAATTGATGAACAGTCCTTCAACCAGCAAACAGCACATCAAGAGAGTTGGTTCAAGGGAGATTCGCAGAATGTATGCCTTGGCTTGTTTCAGTGGTGAATTTGCTTGGTGCTCTTTCTGTATCTTGATTTTTGCAAGAGCTTCCTATTGATACAGAGAGCTCTTGTTGAACGCTGCCTACACTTGGGAAGATGCTGTTACTTCGGAATGAACGAGATACATGCAAGTGTTTATGATTGTCTGGACCAAGTTCTTACGATGGGCTGAGGAAGTTGGTTGAAAACCTTATCTCCAAAAACAACACCCTGCCGCTTGCCTGTCAATTCCACAACACATTTCTGAGAGCATCAGCACCCTGATTGTTTGTAAGTGGGGATTTGTGGACTTGAAAGATGAAAGTTTGAGTAGGCAGGGAGAGCTCCCCAACCGGAAAACCTTATAATGTCAGGCTGCCTAAGATGAGTAAGTGATTTGCATCCTGATGACAGAACACTGTTTGCACAGAACACTGTTTGCATTCAGTAAAAGATCCTGCAGTTCTATCATCATCTGTGTCTTTGACCTGCAATGTCTTTAAGCACATCCAACTTAGTGCAGTGCCAGAAACCCTGAAATTTCTAAATGACGTTGCATGGAAGACAGGCCAGACGTGCTTTCTTCAAAGACATCACCTCAGAATCTTTCCAGGTCACCTAACCAAACCAGTATCTCACCGGACGTTTACCTAGTCTCTCAACTTCTTTGGCCCCAACGCAGGTCCCGCCCTTCTACCCTGGACCCCCGAAAGCCTACGCCAAACGCGCTCAGGACATGAAGCGGTGCCAGCTGATGAACGTCATCCACTCCATCTTCGACTTCATCCGGGAATACGAGTGGGGGCCGCAAGACATCAAATACCTGCGCGATGCGCTCGTCATGGCGGCGTGGCACCCATTGGGCAGCAGCGTTGGCACGTGGGCCGCCCTGGACTGCTGCTTCCAGGCCCTGGAAAACATGGCCCGTGAAGCAGAGTACGAAGACCGGAGGCCCTTGAAAGACGGGTTGAAACTGGCACAGCCTTACTTGGGGTGGAGGGCAGTGGGTCCGGACACGATCTGGAAAGAAGTTCCGAAGAAGCACAAGAGGAAGAAGTCTGGGAAGGAGTCAGACGAGGAGGAAGAGGCCGAAGACGAGCAAGAGGACGAGGGGGGTAGCGACAGCAAGAGGGTTGCCTCGCCAGCGGAGATAGAAGCGTCCCGCCGGGCGGGGCTCAAGGACGGGCGTCAGCAGGGGGGGGGGGGCGCCGACCCCGCTGCTTTGGCGCCGAACTTGAGCGGGGGGGGGATGGAGGACATCCCAACCTCACCGGAGAGCGTGGCCCTATCCGGCGGCGTTGGTGCGCACTCTTCTCTTGCGCTAAGGGAGAGCATCGAAGTTTCTGGGCTTTATATTTTTGCAAACGGGAGCTGGTGACTTGTCTGTAATCTTATATCCTGTCCTTTTCTTGATTGAGTGGGCCTTTCTTCCTCTTAACCGGGTCTGCTAGAGGGGAAATGTAGGGTTCTGCTTGGGTTTGCTACTCTCATTTGTCGCAGATTGAGACTTTCATATAAATGGAAATGGAAGTTGGAAAGTGGGAAACTCGCTTGATCCAACGCGTCCCAGATCTTTGCGACCGTTTTGGCACTTTGGCATCTGCCGGCTTCCTTGCAATCCATTGTGTTGCTTTCGGATGCTTTTCACCAACACCGCTTCAATGGTTGTACTAGCTGCATGGCAGGCTTATAAAAGTAGTTCTTTTCTTCGTCAACGTCGCACACAACAGCGTGGAGATTCAGCTAGATTAAGGACGTTTGTCACTGCTTTATGCAGGAGGAACCGCCTTGGTTCCCGCCGTTTAGCGACAAAGATCGACGGCGCAGACTCTTCGGGGGCTCCGCCCAATCTCTAGGCCGGGAAGGCTGCTGCGAGGTGCTCGATGCCATTTTTAGAACAGTGAGGGACGATTTCGACGACTTGAAGCACTTGAGGCGCACCTGGAAGACTACTTTGCGAAGGCGCGGGGGAGGCCCTCTGTCTTGGCGCGCCCAATAATCAGGGTGTATCTCACAGCTCTGAAGAAGGCGTGCCCCAATCGAGCAAGTTCGACCTCTGAACTGTTGCCTCCTATGGGCAACTGGTTGACGGGTCCTATTTTTTATATATAGCCTCCTGAGTCACTGGGGCGGGGTCTTTGACGTTTTTTTCCTAGATTCAGCAAAACGTTTGCCGGAAGATTGGGTGCACGTTGACGTTAAGATGTATATTGTAGAGGTTTTGTTTCGATGAACTTAGACGTTGATTGCAACGGAACTTCTGCGCTTTAGATGAGACGGTGCAGCCTTTTGCAGCCGTTCTTCTGTACGACCACTTCAAGCTTTGAAATCATGGGAAGGCAGCCCTGGTAGACTGCAGTACCAACAGTCACTATATGTCGAACAAGAGAATCCGACTGGTACTGCCGGCATCATTGCAAAAAGCAACATCATCGCCTGGTTCATGTACGAAGTATCTAGCGCGTCGCGCACTGATATCATTGGGGCGGACAGTCGGTCGTCCAACCATGCACTAATACCGTATATACGGGCATATCATATGATATAGGAACGTTAGCGGCAAGGCTCGGAATTATATTGTGCCGGGCGAAAATCATTGTGCCTGCATGACTAATCAAAGCATACATTATTGCGAGCTGGATATTGCTAGGCTTTTAAGCTCTTAACTTAGTAAGATGCAGGCTGGATTAGTGACTATGATATTGATCATGCAAACGATTATGACACCTTTGAATCTTGAGCTATGTTGGATCGAGGCGCGCGCCGGGTGATCATCGGATTGTGGGTGGGGCGCCTAAGTTCTCAGTGGCATGCAGCATGTGCGTTTGAAAGTACGTACGTTCCAAATACGGGCCTTATATACGTACTAAACATGTTAAGTTACTCATGCGCCATGCATGATTTTAATCGTACAAAATCGTGTTAGTGCCGCCCATAGTATCCGTTAAAAACAAAGTATATACGGACCCGGGCCGGGCCGCCCCGGCCGGCCCATGCCATGGGGGCCATATTGAAAGACTGGCCGCTTGCCTGAGTAGACCGTACCGGCGGCGTGCGGCGGGGCCGCCCGGGCTAGACGGTAAGTTGCCTGACGGTACATCATGCATGATGAGCTACCGTCAATCGTTCAAGTCAGGTCAAGAGCGCCGGCCACTCTTACTAGGTAATATGTTTTGCACCCGGGCCCACAGTTCAGGGTTCAACTGCGGGCCTAGCTCATGCGGCATGATCAAAAGCTATAGCTTCATTTACCAAATATAGGCCCCACTGGCCATCGTTCAAATCCAAAAAGCGCGCAGCGCCGTGCCATACTGGGGGCACCGATTTGGTATCAAGTCCCCGCGCACCGCCAGCTCATGTTGCACACTGAAGGATATTAGGTTCATAAAACTATTCACTTTTGTGGATCCCACTGGTTTTGCAAGAGCCTCTGAGTCTCCATCCAGTTTTTCTGGACACGACTTGCCAACCATAGCAAGCTGCAATCCCGGCTCTGTCGGCATCTCACAGTGACAAACCGTGCAGTGCTCAGTGGCTAGCGATGCGGCTGAAAAACGAGTGACGCTTCAAGTGGGCGTCGAACTTTGGCGACCGTCACCCGTAAGCGCTGACGGCGTCATATTTTGGACGTCAGCTTGGTGACGTCCAGGTTTCACATTGCTTTGCATTTGAATCAATGATGATGTAGGGGTCAATCGGGTTCAGGCTTGCATGACACCTTACGAGCAACAATGGCAACTCCTACGGACGTAACCTACCATGCCTCAGTTTGACTTCAAGTCGGACTCCATGCAACCGTAAGGTTCCTTGCATTTGGCTCGCTCCCCTCAAAATCTCCGATGAGTCTACACTCAACACACCGAGTGTATGTAGGCGCTTTACTTGAGTCCCGACGGCCCATTGTTCCAATCCCTAGAGCTTGGCTCTACCACTAGCAATATTGTTCTTCTTTGACGAACCATACTGATCTCGAAGGATACGTCGCATGATCTTGTTTGACGCAGTCCTAGGCAGGACCGGCGCTATGGCGAGCCTACTCACTCTAAACAGCGGGTTAAGATTCTTGGCAACTGCTGATGTTAGCTTCTTGGTCAACGAAACAGTGTCTGCCACGTGGCCGTCTTTAAGGACAGCAACGATGAGCAGCTGCTCGGGTCCTCCATCTGGAGTACGAAGTCAGGTGCGTGTCAGACAGAATAACCCGTCGTTTTTGGCAGATAACATAACGGGCAGAAAGGCTGTTATAACAAATCAGATGTTGAGCAAGCAAGCTGAAAACCAGCAGAAGTTCTTGCGGACTCTTCGCACCTCTCGTTGGTTACAATCACCACCTTTGCTTATCACTAATGAGGCGGAATGCCGATGCGGCGGTCGCAAGAGCCGCAACACCCCCGCAACCCCTCAACCGAATCTACCAGATGGCACAGCAGCGAATTTTGTAGCCCCATACTGCCTTGATTCGACCGGAGATTGGAGCACCGACCTCGCTTGATTCAATAGCCCAATTTTCGGGTCTGACTACGTAATCGTCAAGTACTCAAAACCTCAGTTCCCGACTTGTCGACTCGTGGTCCTTACCGGGCGGCGGGATGCCGATCGCGGCAGTCTCCAGGATCGCAAGGTCTGCCGCATTGCAGACACGCTCGATCTCGACGGAGCTGACTTTGATACCCCCCAAGTTCATCGTATCGTCTACCCGGCCATGCGCCCGGTAGAACCCCCCGGGCAGCCGCTCCATCTCGTCCCCGTGTCGCCGCAAAACCTGCGGAGCAAAGAAAGACGGCGAGGCATGTTTTCCATTGACGCCAACCTAAGGAGCCAACTCTGAAGACGAGAAGTGTTATTACACTGTGCCTGAAACCGTGCCATGCGCCCGGTAGACACCCCCGGGAAGCGGCTCCCTCTCGTCCCTGTAGACCTCAGGGCGCAAAGAAAGACGGTAAGGGCATGCTTTTGATTATTGACACCGTCCGACTGTAAAGGCGACTTTTGTACTACACTGTGTCTCCAAGGGGGCATGCGCCCGGTAAAACCCCCCAAGCAGCCGTTCCATCTTGCCTGAGGATCTGGGGTACGGACGACAAGATTGCTGTAGTCATCACCCTATTTTGGCGTCAACTACTGAGCCCACCACGAAAGGGAAGAATAACTGATATTTGCGCTTAGGTGCAAGGAAGGGTTGGCGCCAGACGACGTCGAGCCGCCACGCCACCTGCTTAAGAGCCAGCGAAAGCAAGCCAGAACGTTGAAATCTGAAACGAGAGCGTGAGGGAAGCTCCTCACTATCAAACTTTCAGGTAGAAATTGGCAGTCATCTTCATTGTTTGGGGCGGGTTACTCAACATTTTCTAACAACCTTCTTCGTCGTGTGGTACAGCCGATCCTGCACCCATGCTACCGTTCGACGCCAAAACGTCGGCCAACATTCGGATTGATAGGTTGTTCGCACCTGGATTTATTATTGACGCCGTCGGCGGACCACTCCGTCGACGGACTTTCTAAAATTCGACGGAAACACTGGGTTGTTCGCAGTGTCATATTTCCGTCGGCGGACGTCGACGGTATGTCAAAATTCTGCTCGGTACCGCGGGCTTTCACACGCGACGGAGTCCGTTAACGGACACTGCTCCGTCGACGGGGAGTTGGGACCTACCAATCTTTCCGTCGACGCAGTCGATGCTCCGTCGACGGACCTTTCGAAGTTTTAACGGAAAATAATCGACGCCGTCGCCGCCGTCAACAATTTTGCCCTAGTGCGAACAACCTATGAGTCTCAGAGGTCCTGTGAACCGTCGACGATCCTCCAACCCAACCTTTCTTGCCGGCACGAAACGCTATGATTCACAATCGTCGTAAGTGAAATGTAAATAAGAAGCGCACCCCTTACCCGACCATTATGCAACCGGGGCATCCCCTTGAAATATACTTTGTGGTGGTCCGCGTTCAGCAGCCGGGTGGAAGCGCCGAGCATGGGCGGGAGAAGCGCGCACTCGCCCACGCACGGCTGGCCCGACGGCTGCGTGCAAAAGTCAAAAGAAACTCAGTTGTCTCCGTTTGCGCAAGAAACGCAGACAAAGAACCAACTCTTTCATAGTCTTCTTTTATAAGGTATGTAATATTCTGACCAAAGCACACCACGCTTTCACGAACAGGCAAGAGGAAGGGTGCAAAGGTGTGCATAACAAGTGACTTTCTAGAAACGTTTCTCACAGATATCATAGAAATTTAGAGGCAAAAAGCGACAGACTCGTAGTCAGCTCCTGAAATGCATTTCACCGCAAACGCTTTGACCGCGGAAACGCCTCTTCCTCAGCGGCGTTCACACCGGAAGGACCGCAGAGATGAGTTTTTGAGAGCAATCAGCATTTCAGGAAACGTTGGCAACGAATACCTGCAGGCACTCAGATACGGCTTCTGTTCTCGTCAAGGATGACCACAACCATCCCACCGTCGGAAAAAACACATCATCGGAAAATCACATCATACACTTTGAGCATATTAGTCAGGTCATTTCCAGCTTTGCCTTTCTTCCAAAATGATCAACAGAACTTTCCGAAAACGAGTCGAGTGGAAAATCACTCACGTACGGCCGTTGATTCTCATCCAGGATAACTACGGTACATCCCATTGCCGGAGTGCTGAACGCCGAAAGCGCCTGCGGCTGCAGCATCGACCCCGTGACGAACCCGCCGCCGATCTCGGTCCCGCCGCAGTACTCGATGACGGGCCGGTAGCCACGCACGCGTGACGTCAGCCATAGGTAGTCGTCCGCGTTCGACGCCTCCCCGCTCGAACTGAAGCACCTGCAGATCGGAAGTTCGTTAAGAAGCTACTCAGGCAGAAGTTTTCTACGATTGACTAATACGTCATGATGATCGGGCTCTAAAGAGTACGTTTGGACTCCGCCACAGACAACGAGGCTCGATTTCGTCTTCTTGCGCTTCGGTTTTTTTGAAGTCTATCCTCCTAGGTAATCGAGGTGTGCGGTGGAGTGCTGGTACGAATCAAATGGAAAGAGGGTTCACCGGTGGGCTCAGCGCAAGCAGCGGCCTCAGTCCAGAAGCCCTCTTTTCTTAAGAAACAAATGGAGCTTAGATGGACGCGTGGCCTTTCTCATAGCAGACCCTCAATACTCGGCCCACTTGACGGATCTCGTTCCGCTCTCATTCTAGTTCCGGTCTACTTAAACACAGAACCTTTCAAAACTGGTCTAAAGTACGCTCGAAAACCTGCCGGCAGCGACGGATATGCAGATATGCAGGACGCTCTGCTCTCACCTACCTCATCGTACAAATGCAAGTCACGCAGCTGCATTTTACACAAGGTGTCGCAAGCTTGACAGCACCAGAAAAAGCAAGATTCTAACAGCTGACAGAAGACCGAATCCTCGCACCAGGCCGAGCCCGTTATACTCAGGTCGTAGCGAGAATCGAGAAGAGAAGACAATCAGGACTTGCGTCATACCTGACGTGGCTCCAACCAAGGCCCTTTACACACTCCCCGCTTCTCCACGCCTTAGCGATACTAGGCACCAGCCCCAACATGGTCACCTTCGCGTCCTGTATTAGTTTAAGTCAGAGAATTGTTAAACGTCTTTTCCAAAGAAACGCCTCGTGAGCTGACGTCAGAGGACCTCTGGGATCATGATTGAGTGGAAGCGGCTGGTTAGGTTGACAGCAGAAAACCGTTGGTATGATTGGATATTGCCTCGTCAAGCTGACGTCAGACAACCGTTCGGATGCTTGTGTGAGAATGCCTCGGTAGGCTCGATAGAAAAGCGTTCGGATCATTGGGTGAGAAACGCCTCGTTCAGGCAGACGTACTGTACCGATGACATCGTCGAGCTAAAAAAGCCTTGAAGTTGACGGCAAGTTCCTCCTGGCAAGAGCCCTCCAAAAGAGAACCCGCTCCTCAAAGTGAGGGACCAGCCGGAGGATCGCCGTCATTGCATCATGCACGCTATGCCCGGAGGCTGCGGCCTTCGAAGGTTTCGCGACTTTCGAGAGGTAATCTTTGGGCTTGATGTTGGTCATCCTAACGGGTTCGGACACCGTAATTTTACGACTTTACGAAAACAAAACTAGCAGAATGCAGAAAGTACGGGAAGTCGGCGACACTATAAGGAATGGTGCGCTCTGTCGTTCCCGTCAGGCGCATCAAAGCGACTCAAACTTTGAGAACGATTAAGAAACGCTTCCGAGGGATCCTTCAACAATAAAACACAGGGTGAAGAGGAGGCTAAGTGAGAAGCATCTGGTAAGCGGTTGCGAAAGCTGGATACAAGCGACGCACCTGCACAAACTTGGCGAACCCTCGCCCCCCCGGCGCTCCGTTGTAGAGGGCGATCGCAGCACCGTTGAGCAGCGCAGCGTAGATAAGCCAGGGGCCCATCATCCAGCCCAGGTTGGTGGGCCACGCAACGACGTCACCTTTTCGGACGTCCTGCATGGAAAGAGACGCTCAAATTGGTCCGACTGTTGAAAGCTCCCGTATGTCTAGGTTGTTAGATTCTTAGGATGTCAGAGCCCCTCTGCACCCGGAATGACGCTGAGGCAGAGGCCTATGATCAAGCCATGAATCGACAGGCCGCAATACGACTTCGTAATTTCGGACGTCCAGCAACGAAGCGGGCACTTTGATCGCGACCCACAGCTTCAAAGTTGTATCTTTCCAGTTTTTTAAGATCCTTTCACAAGCACGCACGAAAGAGAGTCAAGCCATATCTTAATCAGAGTATACGGGCCTGTCACAGCGTAATGCGATCGTACGTCCTGACGTCGACTGAAAGTACTCAAGCCTGAAGATCGTGCGGTTTTAGAACTTTATCTTCGTTGAGGTGCAATATGTGAACGCTGAGGGAAGAAGCATTTTGCAGAAACATGCGTCCTCCTCTCATTGTCGAGCAAGCGGGGGAATCTAAAGGGAGTCCAAAAAGTGCGCGCCGGGGAGTAGAGACAGAGCGAAGGCCAATCGGCATCCGGAAGCCGGCAACTCGCAACTTCTTTAGGGGGCCGGCTTTCTTCCCAACGGTTCCTTATCCTCGTGATTTGTGAAACCAAGTGAGGAGTTAGTCCCACAGTTAGACACTCTCTTTGCTACTAGGTTGGTACCAGTGCGAAGCCGGTGAACAGGTGGCCATGAATTCGCCACCTATTCACGATTCAAAGGTCTCTCAAAATGCTTCCAGTCACGATTGCCGCGGACAAAACAAAGAAGCAGAGGCAGTGATTCGTACGCACCTGATGGGCCCAGGCGTCCGCACCCGCTTTGAGGGGCGTCACATGAGTCCAAGGGATGGCTTTTGGGTCGCCTGGAAGGGGAATATAGATCAATCAGGATAAGCCGGAACGACGTAGACGAGTGAAACGACGAGCGACTGCAAAGTGGAATCTTCGACCGACCGCTCTGGAGCTTATCAGGAGGCTCCGTATCCCAGCAGCAGCCTTGAGCTTGTGGTATCGAACTTACTGTTGAGAAACAGAGTCAGGGCACGATACATTGTGAGTGGATCAAGGACCGAATGCTTATGGAGAAACAAAACCACAGGTGGTCACTCGTCAGCTTCATGTTGTCGAACTGAAAAGCTCACGAGGATCCACAAATCAGTTCCTCGACGTCGATCCAGGCAAACTCTGCATTCGGACCCTTTTCGTACAACTCAGAACGTGTCCACCAGAGAACATCTCAAGTAGCTGCCCAGAGGCACATACCCCGAGAAACGCAGAGGATAGACGGTGCGCAAGGAGAGAATACGTTCAAACCGAAACGTTTGCTTCGTACCTGTCGTTCCGGACGAGAACAGGATGTTGGTGGTCGCCTCCGCCGGGCACGAGCGCGCCTCGAAGACCCCAGGATTCGCGGCGACCCTTCTGCCCCCTTCCAGAAACGCCCCCCAGGTCAGGTCTCCGTTTCGCAGCTCAACGCTCAACCGACCGTCCGATGCCGCTGGCAGAACGATTGCTCGGGGTGCACCGGCTTCGGTCACCCGGCTGTACAGGGGTATTGACTTGCTGCCGCGAATGATGACGTCCTGACGTCAGCAAAGAAAGTGGGTAGGTCAGCAAGGGAAGGTCACATATAGCAGAAGAAGCAAATGGCAAAACGATCGCTCGGGGCGCACCCGCTTCGGTCACCCGGCCGTACAGGGGTATTGACTTGCTGCCGCGAATGATGACGTCCTGACGTCAGCAAAGAAAGTGGGTATGTCAGCAAGGGAAGGTCACATACAGCAGAAGGACCACATGGCAGCAGGATCGCTCGGGGCGCACCGGTTCCGGTCACCCCGCTGTACAGGGGTATTGACTTGCTGCCGCGAATGATGACGTCCTGTCGTCACCAAGGAAAGTGTTTGTCTTAGCGCAAGATTGGTCAACTTAGTGGAGGGGAATGGCGGAACGGTCGCCCGAGGCGCACTAGCTTCTGGCACCCGGCTGTACAGAGGTTTTGACTTGCTGCCACGGGTGATGACGTCCTGACGTCAGCGAGAAGAATTTTGTGTCAGCGAGGGACGGTAGTAATCAAGCGGAGGGGACAAATGGCAGAACGATCGCTCGGGGCGCACGGGCGTCGGTCACTCGGCTGTATAGGGGTATCGACTTGCTGCCGCGGATGGTGACGTCCTGACGTCACCAAAGAGAGTGTGTGAGCGAGCGAACGGTCACGTTAATAGAGGAGCTGATGGCAGAAAGGTCGACGGGGCGCATCAGCTTCGGTTACCCGGCGGTGTAGGCGTATTGCACTGCTCCCGCGGATGAGGACGTCCTGACGTCACCAAGGAACGTGTTTGTGTCAGCAAGGGAATGGTGTACAGTAAAGGGAGCAGACGGCAGAACAATCGCCCGGGGCGCACCAGCCCCGGCAACCCAGCTGTACAGGGGTATTGACTTGTTGACCCAGATGTTGACGTCCTGCAATCAACAAGGAAAGTGCTTCACGTCATCGACGTAAACGTAACAACAGCGGAGGGAGCAGACGGTTGACCTTTACCGGGACCAATGTACCTGAGCATGTGACGAACGCGCTGCAGAATACCCGCTCTTCCGACAATCTCGTGTTTCTCACGTTCGTGCAGATAAGAACGACCTTCACCACGAAACCGTCGTCGAGACGAAAAGGCCGGTTGGGCTGCCTACTTTCTTTCCGAACCTTCAAAGTCTGACCACTAAAAACACAAAATGGAAGTAGAATTGAGAAGGGCTCTTCTGTCACAGCTCAAATCAGCTGAACGATCGCTATCCGTTAAATGCATTTCTCTTATGTAACCGGCGTTTTTGAAGGCCGAACAGCTTTTCAATTATATTGAAGGTTGTGAACTGTAGCAACCTCCCTTCAGAAGGCAGTAGGGATCCACTCCATCGCTTCCCTGGCCTTTAACACTAGCAATCTTTTTCCCAAAGCACGTGCATCAAACAGGCTGCCCTACCTGTGTGAATATGCCCTTTGCTTCGGACAGCCGCAGGCGCGTTGCGATCTCGGACGGCGCGAAGCTGTCCGCAATGGATACGACTACGCAGCCCGCTAGGATCGTTCCAAGATACGCTATGACTGCGAACTGGTTCATAGGCATGTCGATAGCGATGGCGTCTCCAGTTTGGAAACCAGCCGCCAGGAGAGAGTTTGCTAAACAGCTGCAGGACAGATAGGGGAGATTACATTCTCATTGATGCGATTCTCTGAATCTGGGAATATATCTGATGAGTCTAATTCTGAAAGCGTGTACACGCCCACCTTCTCGAAGATGACGGTTGACGAGAGAAAAGGGCTGACAAGACGAAGGGAAAAGTTGTAGCACTCTCGCAAACAGCGAGGAAAGCGTCAACGGCTGTACGAGAGCGAGAACCAAGGTAGAAGTGCAAAGCAGAAACGCCGATCACTAAAAGGATACCAATAGCATGGCAGTGAGGAAGTCAGATCCTTCCGACTCAGAGAGCTTGCCTGGCTTCCGCCCGCAACGCACCCAACGTCATTGTCTGAAGAGGCGCTTCGTCGTTTCCTTCGTCTCGCCAGATCAGCGCCACCTCAGCCATGATATCCTGCAATTACTGGTGCTCATGATAAGCATGATGACGGTTCTTGTATGGCAAAATCAGATGCCGAAAACGGGCTTTCCTCATGGTCCAAGTAAACTTTTTGGAGTGAGCAGGACCGTTTCCTGGAACCAGATATGGACGGAGAGGGTGGAGTTTTCTGATCAATTACCTTCAATTCAGGTGGCGAAGAGCTACTCCATTGTTGGCACACCATTCAATCTCCAAAGTCGAAGGCAATCGTGAATGGCCAAATTTCATAAAGCTTCATGTCGAAACATGGTAGTCAAACATGTGTTCCTGCCAGGCTTGACAAGCCAGACATACCGTAGTCCAACATGATGATTCCGAACGCTTTTATTTTGAAACATCATCCAACAATCCGACGAGGAAAGAAGAATGAACTATGCTGATTCCGTCAAGAATCTGAATGCCCTATGGTCTCACTTGGAAGGGGACTTTTGGCCGTTTTTGGCAATTTTACGGCTTCCGAGGACCACTTCAGGATTATAATACCTTTCCGAGTTCTGCAATCCCGAATGGAAAACCTGAACTTCTGACTTTCCGAACGCAGACAATAATTCATTTATTCGGAATCAACACCTTGAAGTACGGCATAGTCTACTTCATTGAGGTCTCCTGGGAGAGAGGCGTTACGTGAAAATCTGAAGGAACTTGAGTCGAGTTTCTGAGACCACAGTAGATTGCAAGCGTCTTTGCTTACCTGACCCCGGACAAGGCAGCACTCCGCAACGTTCAGCTCAGCGCCTCTTAGCCACGTTCCTCCGTAGGAGTTGGACTCAAGGACCTTTGTGGGGGGCTTGTGGAATCTGATTCCAAGCTCCTCAAACACAAGGGGCCAGTAGACCTACAGAATTGCACAAACAGAGGTTTGCATGAGATTTGGACAACAGATTTGGTAGACGGAGGGCCTCTTCCCATGCTCCCTCAGGGTGTAGGACTCATTACAAGGAGGAGTAAGAAGAGGCAACACATCGACTGAGGTTTCTTTTGTGAAGACTTAGGACGCTGGATTTGACTAGCTTCTTTCGAAGTAGGATGGGAGTCCTTGCATTTAAAAAGGGCTGCTTGAGTTGCCTCTTTTGTCGGAGCTGCAACTTCCAAACAAACTTTGTTTCAGAAGCGAGCTGAGGCAAAAGCATATCTCCATGATCTACTGTCCTTACACCAAGCAGCTCCTGATCAAGTTCAATTTGTTACGGGCTCATCATCCTGATAGTTGCATAGCTGACACAATGCAATCACACGCTTGAAGATGGTGAAAATGCTTGCCTCAGGGTGTGAGTTGGACAGCTGCAGGAGGCCATCATACGTAGATGCGCCAAGTGCAGAAAGGCGCTCCTCGTGTTTAACGATCAATGTCCCAATGTTCGTGCGCTTCGCTTCATCCCTGTGACAAGGTGCTGTTCAGACGGCTGTTTTCAAGGCTTCCTCACTGGAGCAAAGCCTTTGTGGAAGTTTCAAAGAAAGATTGTTTAGCTACTCCACCAACGGTTTGAAGTGATAAGAAACTGGCACTAGGAATGAGGTACTGCAGTTCTTCTAGAGCTTGAAACTTTCTGAAGAAGACTGAAAGCACTTGGGGCATTGTCAAGGCCCTGAGCAGCAATCAGGGAAGCCTTTTTATACCCGCCTATCGCAACCAGTCAATTGTCTGGTATGCGTACAAGAAGTGCAGGTTCCAGCTGGCACTAGCTACATTTGCTATAAGAGTTCTGGACTCCAGGAGTACGCTGGCTTGCTCTGAAGTCAATCAAGGACGCCCAATAGTTAGGGTTTGGCAAGTGATGTTTACAATACCCCAAGCCGGAAGCTGCACTTGCCAAGCCTTCTGACTCACTCTGTTGGCTTCCACACAATTGGAGGGCCCCTCCTCGCATCCCAGTCCAGATAAGTGACAGAAAAGAGCAATTGATGTAGCTTGAAGGGGTGCTCTGGACACAATAACTCCCTAGATATCCAGTCCCAAGTTGCAATCTGTGATTCTCTTTTAGAGGCAGGGGGGCAGGCAAGCCTTTGAAGGAGCACCTGAGCATCGCCCTCGCTTAAGCCTGTCTCCAATAGATGCTCGAGAGTCAGGTTTTGTATACTAGTTCTTGCCATCCTCCAGAAATACTCCGGAAAGTCGCGCTATCTATGTATCTACAGTTGTTCTTTTTCTTAGAAACTCCTTCCAAGCGGACTGACGGAAGGTTCCTTCAGAGCATTTCGAGCTAGCCCGCTAACCTCCCAGGATTTTGAACATCCAATGACCACCACCCCAGCTCCTCTATCAATGTATCAGCTCGCAACAGCTGGTGAGAGCTTCAGCTTCTGATTTTTCGAAAGAATAAATGGCTGCTCTCTACAAAGCCTAAGGCAGGGAAGTCTTCCCGGAAGAGAAGCCCATCTGGAAAGCATTGCGTTCCGGTGCCAACGCATCACCGGAGCCACCGGACTTTAAACCCTCCGCAAACCCGGGCCAACCGTGTCGCGGCCGCGCGCGTACTGCGATCGAGAGACACAGAAACACAGTCAGAGAGGATAGGATCATAGGCTTCTTTCTATCCATGCAGCAGCTAGCAGGCCTCCGCAGCCAGGTGCCTGCGTTTCATTGGATCGGCAGCAAGTTGTTACATTGAACAAAGCCGGATGGAATGATAGTAGCCTGACAAGGCAAGTTGCAAGCTGCGCCAATCGCTGACGCTTCTCACGTCGTTGTGACACCCGTCCATGCTTCACGTGATGCAGGGACACTTGGCAGTCCTCGCCTTCAGCCGCCTAGCACGCCTCTATTAAAACACCAAGTCAGCACTTCCTAAACAAAGCGCTCTGCAGTAAAGGGGGCCGCAGGATCGACATCATGATGAATTGATGAAGTACCTGTGACTTCCTCGTTTGTTCAAAGATCCTTCGATCGCACACTCCCGAAGCCCGTTCAATGCGAGAGCTCCTCCGCAATCCGCAGGAGCTTGTTCGAGTTCCAACCACTCATCAATTGTTTTTAAGCACCAGCAGAGTTCCTTCTCAAGCCAGTGCGCACTTTGACGCACGCTCAACGTTCCGGCATCATGAAGCCCTTCTCCCTTCCCTGCGTCTTCCTCCTCATCCTCATGGCCTCCGCTCTAGTTCTCCCCTCATGCGGAGACCTCGGCTCTCGCAGCAAGAAACTTGGCAGCAGCTCCAGCTCTTCCAGCTCATCCAGTGGATCGCGCGGCGGATCTTCCTCCTCTAGTTCTGGCTCCAGCTCTAGTTCTTCTGGCTCCAGCTCTTCCGGCTCCAGCGGAAGCAAGGGCGGAAGCCCCAGCGGATCGAGCGGAAGCTCTGGATCTACTGGAAGCAAAGGGACCCCCAGCTCTTCGGGGGGAAGCAAAGGAAGCCCCAGGTGAGAAGTCACGAACCACCGCTCGCTGCTGATCAGGAGTTTGGAAATTCTCACCTCAATGCTTGTTACATGCTTCCATTGCTGCTTTGTAGGGCTTGACGCATTTAATGCTTCCACGTACTGAATTATTCGAGTATTCTGGTCCATGTATACATGTAACATCGTAGATTTCTGCTGTGTTTTTATGCTTCACCGGGCTTGCTGGTCTTTCAAGCTTCCTTCCTTTAAGCTTCGCCTTGTTCGTACCTCCTGCTTCAGCTTTGCCCCACTTTCATTAGCTTCGTAGACTCCATCGGCATCAGACGTGCGTATGTTCCTTGCCATTGATACACTGCTTGATGCATCACCTTTTCAACCTTCGATGTCTTATGGACTCACCCTACAGACATATCTTCAATCACATGGCTGGGCACATACCACCAACTTTCTAAGCTTTCTGAACATCCCTCTTTCATAAGAGCAGGTAAATCGTGAACAAACCCTCATTTGTCCAAAACCTGCAGCTCCCCAGGCACTTCCTCCGGGTCTAAGACCCCCTCCAGCCCCTCATCCTCCACGCCTTCCGGTTCCTCCCGGTCCCCTTCCGGTTCCTCCAACCGGTCCCCCTCCAAGCCCGGCGGATATTCCGGGTCCAAAGCCGGTTACTCCTCTTCGGGGGGGTCCAGAAGTTTCACGCGTCCCGGGGGGTATGCTGCTTGGCCGGAGGAGCGGCAGGGGCAAGATCCGTTCTGCCAAGCAGCGGATTCTCGTCGTTTGGATTTGGGTCATCGTACAGACCTTACTATGGGTACTACTCGTCGCGGTATCCGTATTACTACGGGTCTGGGAACCCTTACAACTACTACTACGGCCAGAATCGGCACTCCAGGAACTACAACAACACTCCACCAGGTGAATATGATGGCACGTCGGAGCTTTCTTGAGACATCGTGACTCGCTTTGAACAAAGCTCGTCCATTTTCATACGAGCTTTTGATCTCTACGACCTTTCCGTTTTGCAGTGAGCAGACAATGATGCAGAGGGCTTTCTTGTCAATGAAATGGGTTGTAACCAAGTCTGCAAGTCGTCGAGCTTTGCTGTTCAAAGTGCTTCGTGCCTTTCCCTCTTGCTACAGAGAGTATCTCACTCTTACAGACAACTGAGTAAAGCAGACTCGTGCTAATCAGCAGAAAGAATTCACTTCTTTCAGCTTTTGCAAGTTGGTCCAAACGAACTTGAAAGACAAAAGGGTCTTCTGTGTGAAAACATCTTGTCATACAATGACCATCCTTCATGAGCGAAATCTCTCCAGACAAACATCTGCGGATCGAGTGTCGCTTCGAGTGAGCCACGAGCCGTTCCGCTTCGATCTCTTGTCTATCTCTCATACACCGTTTTTCCTCAACACAGGTACCACGATCCCGCAGTACGGACCGGTCATCAGCTACAGCAACAGCAGCACCATGTTCCCTAACCTGACCGTTACCACCGGGCCCGGCTACGGTGTGCTCGTCCGAATGCCACAGTCTAGTTTGCTCAACTTGGCAAATTCTACCACTGTATCCGTTCCGACTACCGAGCTGTTTCCGGTTCCGCCCGTCGGCAACGCGACGCAGCTGGTCTATACAAGCGTTCTGGTGCACTTCAATCCGAACGGAACCTTTCCGTTTGGCCAGGTAAAGCGGCGCGTTTCTCTTCAAACTACTTTCTGTTTCTCGAAGTCTGGATGAACGGAGCCCTTATTTTCGGACAAGTAAAGTGAGCAGTACTTCAGAGTGGTTCCGAACCTTTTCGCCCGTTAATTGCTTTTATTATCTGGACGGAACACTGCCTTTCGGCCAGACAAAGTGGAGCGGCTTTTTTCAAACTCCTTTTTCCTTGACCCTTGCTTTCGGTCAAGTGAAGTGAGACGGTGAACTTTAGAGTGGGTTCTGAACCTTTTTCGCCCGTTGCTTTTTGACAGAATCTGTCATGCTCGTCGAGTTGATGAAGAAGTTCGCCGTTCCGCTTCCCTTTTCTACCTTTGATTCAACCCAACGGAACCGTCTCGGTGATGCGAGGCGGTTCACTTCTAGGTTCCTGGTGAAGTATCTGCAGGTATTTGCAGACAAAGCTCGAGTTCGAGAAGTTCGTAGTGCACCTTAAGCGGAGCGAAACCCTACCCTTCGGTCAGCCACAAAATGGGATTCGAATCCAGATCAGTAGAAGCTTTTAGTTTGTGAGCGTGCAAAGTATATTTGGATGTGCTCGTCGCTCCCTGAGCAGGAGTCCGCCGTTCCGCTTCGCTCTTCTTTCAGTTTGAACGAAATGTAACCGCTAGCTCAGCTAGCAGGCTCTTTGTCTTGCGTGCTTCTTCAAGTAACAAGTCAGCAGTCATGTCCAGCTACTTGTTCCCGGATGTTTGGCGATCCGAACAGTCCATGCTTGTCACAAAAAGCTTCTGTTTGGAGTAGTACGAAAAGGTTGAAATACGGAGGCCGTTGGCCTCTTTATCAATCACAAGTACGACTACTGGAATCCCTGTATCGACCCGTGAAGAGGCCCAAGACACGGAATCCATCTGGAACCCCATGTAACAATTTTCCATTCTTCCCCTGCACCTCTAGTCCGGCCCCGAAGCACGTGCAGGAAACCTCGCTTGGAAGCCTTCACTGGGGCGCCCGCTTGTGAAACTTAAATCTGTGCAGTCAAATTGCGAAGCGTATCTACGCTGCAGGCAAACTTCGTAATTGTTTCTCAGTTCTTTCCTTCAGCACATCGAGATCGGCACCGCCTTCGAAAACTGCGCCTCGATCTCTTTCCCGCGGGTCAGGCAAATCATGAAATGTTCCCTTTTTCTTTCTTTACAGCGCATCGGCACCGCCTTCCAGAACACCACTTCCGGCGCGCCCCTCTTCCTGTTCGTTTTTCCGATGGTGCCCGCCGACCCCAACCCACCGGCGCTCAACTCCAGCTACCTGCCGCCAGACTTTCGTCCCGCAACCAACTTGTAAGTTTCACTAATCCTTGTTATCCGAATCTTTTACGAGGCAATTGCTATTCTTTCTTGGCCGCTTCAAAGTGGAGACAGCCTAGAAGAGGCAACCGGTCTGAAAGTATCTGAGTATGAGATTCCCGTGCACTTAAGCACGCTCTTTTTGAAGAATGCCCAATTCTGTATGCCAATACGGAAGCCTGATTTCATATGAATCTAAGCACGAAGAACAAGCCGGTGCAAGGCCGTTAAGAGCTTTGGAGAAATCCAAAGAGATTTTTAATGTTCGGAGTCTAAAGAACGGGAAGCATGCATCGTACTCTTGCCCTGAAGGTGTTGGTCACAAAGATTCCTTTCAGACTACCCATACTTGGAGATCAGACAGACTCGGAATCACTTGCTTGCGTCATGTCTGAGAATCGTCAAGCGGCTGTCAAAAGCTGTTACACTAAACAATCCATGCACTCGTCCTTTCGTGCGCAGTACTGTCCCGGCGCTGCCCGGCCTCTTCTGGTTCTCGAACGTGTCCATTCCCAAGGCCGTCTCGATAGGGGACGACAGCAACTACACCGTGCCTGATGTGTGGCCGTTCTACATCACCAATAACACCCAGGTGAGCAGAATCTGGCTTTGAAGTTGGCGCCGACACAGAACTATCTGGATCTTCGGTCTTTCATCTTGGTCTAGGTACTCAAAGCCACACTTCTTTCCAGCGAAGTCAGATTCAGCTAGGACTTCTTGATCCACGTGACCGATCGAGGCCTTTCTGTTGTTCTGGCAGACCGGAGATCAGGTCTTAATTTCAGTCAATGCGTTCGGAAACCTCGCTCTTTCCCGACAAATAGGAAGTATTCAGAACGCTCGGCGACACTTGTCTTCAGACTGTCGCTTTACTGCGTTCTCGATCCTTTGGTAGCACCGCTTATCTGAGCGAGCAACTCATCGTCTGGTTTTTACGAACTTGTAACCTGTAATCCGGAAAGATGGCCACGCATCGATGCCCCTTAACAAATCAAGATCGAAAGTCCGGGATCCGGACATACAGTCCTGCTTGTCACTGCAGGTTTTACGTTCAAGCTGCCCAGATCCAGAGCCCTTACAACTTCTTGGAATCAACATTATCTGCATCTAATGCTCTGACGCGCTCGCTTAAGCGGTCCTGTTGATCCAATCTGGCTTCTGGCCTAGTCATCATCTTCTTTTCTAGAATGCTTGTCAATCCTTGTTACTGTTTCTTGACCCAGATCGCCGCTTTCGGCGTCTTGGTCAGCGCGGACTACATCCTGCTCGAGTCCACCGATGACGTGGCGGTCCCTCAGCCGTCGCTCTCCCCGGTCGCCGGCAAGGCGGCCGCGAGCTTTACTGTTCTGGGCGACGACGGAACGGCGTCAAACACCGCCGCGGTATCGCTCTCGCAGCCCTTCCCGGAAAGCTGCATCTCAGCCCTCTGACGAAAGTCCTTGAATTTATGGATTACGGATCTTTGGAGTGCCATGTGGCGGCAGCAAACTCCACTGTTAGGCGTCGACGGAACGTCGTTAAATACCGTTTCGCTCTCGTAGCCCTTCCCGGTAAGCTGCAGCTAGCCGTCTGACGAACCTTCATGAGTTCATGGCTTTTGACTGGTTGCTTTGCGACCGGGCGGCCGCGAGCTTCACCGTTTTGGGAGACGACAGAACAGCGTCAGACAGAGCCGCACTTACGCTCTCGCAGTCTTTCCCGGTAAGCTGCATCGTAGCCGCATGACAAAACTCTCTCGCTTTCTGGCTTTTGAATCGTCCGCCCGTTCGGTGTGGCGGGCGCGAGCTGTACCGTTCTGGGCGACGACGGAACGGCGTCAAACACCGCCGCAGTTTCGCTTTCGCAGCCTTTCCCGGTGAGCAGCTGATCCGTCTAGACCAGTCTAGTTCGAGACGAAGCTTAATTGCTCTATGAATTCTTGGGTTGACTTTAGATGGGCGACGTGGCGGTTTTGGATTGCCACGCGAGCTTCACCGTCACTTTCGACGACGGAACGGCGTCAATTTCAGGCGCGGTTCCGCTTTCGCAGCCCTTACCGGTAAGCTGCATCTCAGCCGTTTGACAAAGCTCTCTGACCTTCTGGCTTTTGAACCGTCCGGTTTCGGTGTGGCGGCCGCGAGCTTTATACCGCTTTAGGCGACAACGGAATGGCATCGAAGACCGCCGCACTTCCGCTTTCGTAGGGGGCCCTTGCGGTGATCATTTCAGTTGGTCGTCCGATAACGCTTTCACCTTTGTCCGGGCCACTGAAACCTTCAGGCCGCCGCTGTCTCATTGATTATTACGTAGTCCTTGATTGCGGACTTTTTCTGCCTTTCTTTAGAAGCATTCGAGGGGACTGTACAAAGCACCGCCACAGTTTCGATTGTGCAGCCCGTCCGGGTAAGAATGCGTATGCGTGGGTTTGCGGGAGGACTGGAAATAGTCAAAATTGGGACGTCTAAATCCAGGGAGGTTAGAATCTTTCAAAGGTTGGAAAGCTTCATCTTTTCAAACGGTGGCCAACTCAAAACACCACCGCAGCTAGCTGCCTGAGTAATGCTATCGCAAACCTTCTCCGTAAGCACACCAGCCGTCCGGTGATCGTTCGCAGCTTTAAACCGTCAAACGAAATTGTGGCGGCGAGTTCGGTGGCGGGATCGCCTCCTGCAGAGCTGCGGTGACGCTCTCGCAGACCTTCTTGGTGAAACTTCTTGATCCGTTTTATTGAGAAGTCTCGATAGTTGGAAGTCGCTGAATGAAAACGTCTGAAGAGTCTACAGAAGATTCGTAGCGACACCCGTCCAGCCGGGTAAGTACTAAGCGACTTTCGAAACCCTTCCTTGCGAGTACAGATATCGTGCTATCCCTCGGTTGCCAGATTGGTTTCAGATCTTCAGTACATTGCAGTACAAAATGGTACTGAGTATGCAAACCTCGACGCTCTGATTCGGCCCGCGACCCCGGACACATAACGCCTTCTTTTCTTTCGTTAATATCACCCTTTGAACGAAAATGTCTCTTGCAACTGCAGGTCGCGGCCGATGCACAGCCCCAGCCGCCTTCGGTTGACTCCCCGGCCTGGATGACGCGTCCTGACGTCACAGTCACGGCCGCGCTTGTTCTTGTCGCCCTGTTTGGGCTTGTAATATAGAAGATATGTAATATAGAAACGGGTGTTTAGTGCAGTAAGGAGGAAGTTTTGCAAGCGCAGATAGTCAAAGTAAACGCTCCGGCACGCAAGGGTCTTTTCTCTTTTGAATAGATGGCGTGGATTGGTTCCGAAGTCAGCATTTTGAGAGGCTGACAGTCATAGCTGCACGCATGCAAGGCACTAGTAGAAATCGCTTTCTGCTATAGCGTGCACGTACGAACGTCGCGTAAGGATCGATAGCTTCGCGCTCGGTTGAAGAACAAAAAATCAGGTAGTACGTGCCGCACCAGATCGAGAAACCAGGCGCCGCCACGCCTTACTAGCTAGAAGGGGTTTACTTTCGGTCTATGTAGGAGTTAATATCTTCATGGGGCCGTTCAAGACGCCAGTAAGTTCAAAGTTGGTTGCATGCTGAATGCGTAGCGTCAAAGATTTTGACTACGGAACTCTGAAAGCTTGCATGTGCAAGGGATCAATTACTCAAAGCACTTGCTTATAGTAGTAGGGTCAAAGGGTTTAACTTCGGTACTCTGAAAGCTTGCATGCGGAAGGAATCGTTTCTTCAAAGCGCTTGCTTATACCACTAGAGTTCTGCTAAATCCGACCTTGGAACATATCACTGCCGAGACTCCAGTATTATATCAGATCCAACCGGACCGAACCAACATTCGGAGATGTGAGTACGTACTCTGAACTTTCATGTCACGTTGAATACCAGGTTCCGATTTCCAATCTTGAGCCATATGCAGGGCATGCATGGTGCATCTACTCGCGCAATATCTTGACGTGTTGCTCGTGAAAGGTATCTTCAACATATAAGCCGCTCACAGCATGGATTAGATCATGCAGATGATAGGTCGTCTACGTAATCCGGAAACAAATTGACATGGTCTAACAACGACCACGTCCGACATGTGGTAAAGCGTTTCCACTAAGAAGGATTGCGGACTTCAGCTGGCAGCATGACGGCCGGACGCCAGCTAGACCCGCGGGAGTCAAGGCCTTGGTACTTTGTTTTTAGCACCCCAACCACGTGACAAATGAAATGCCTTCATTTGTAAGACAGGTTTCACAGTGGCCCCGATTAAATCTAGCGAGCTAAATTGTATTTGCACTCTGATCGGGTCCTGAACAGCCAATGTCGCGGCTCATAATATACAGCTTCAAGTTGCTATCTTGCTACGAAAGTTCCGGAGATCGGGTTGTTAACGACGCCCTGGGTAGATTTCATAGAAAGCGAGGAGTACGAGACATATTTACACAGAGCACACATTAAACTAGCGTCTAGACAGTTGATTCCCGTGCCGTCGGAAAGCACCCGGCGCCCAGCTTAATCTACTTATATAATTACACATGAAAGAGTTTCTCCCCTTTCCAATGAGCCGGCAAAGCGCCGACTTTGTGATCGAATGCTCTTGCTCGCCCGTGAAAATAGTCAAAAGGATACGGCGGGAGGAACTTGAACGGCCTGCCTTTTGTGATCGATCGGCCACCAGGTTGTCCGGCAAGTGAAAACGGAAAAAGCAGTCACTGGTGTCAACTGAGTCGCAAGGCAGTGACACATTTGCTATTGTGGGGATAAGAAGGAGAAATCTGCCGACAACACGACAAGGCTTGTTGCAAGAATAAGGTGCCAATCACCAAAACTTTCCGGCACCTGTAAAATGGAGATAGCACTGCTTTAAGTCGCAAAACTCTCCAAGTGTTGTAGAGCGACTGACATAAAGAAAAAGGAGTGGAGATTTGGAGAACACCCCGGTTATTGCAGGGGCCGGAAGGGGGGGGTGCAAGAGAAGTTGGGACTGCACCCGAACTGCACGCTTTTCCGGGGACTGAGGTACTGCACGTTTCTTCAAGTTGGTGTCACGCTTTTGACTTCCGCTTTTGGAGGCGAGAATCAGCCTTATGGTCTAGCTGTACAAGTGTAGCTAGGATCGGGATGAGGCAGCGTCATCGCAAGCAAACGGGTTCGCTCATGCACAAGCGACCGGGGTAAACGAGGCCCCCGGAGTTCCGTTGGCGGTCCTCTGTTCCGTTCCGGAACCTGGGCGAGCGGATAATGACACATTTCCGCACCCGGTCGAAGCGGCTAAATCTGCAGTCCGCTGACGTCAGGCCCGAGGTGAGGTAGTCGTCATTGGTGCCTCGACGGTGGCAGGGCCCTTCCAGTCTCCTTCCAGTATGCCCATCGCCAGCTGCTCCTCGTGCGCTCCAGGGGCGTACATCTGGCTGCCCAGGAACTAGGGGAGGGAGAAGAGTGTCTGATTGAAAAGGGGGTCCGAAAAGAGTCTACCGTCAACTGCACCGTCGATACTTCCGTCATATTTGAGTCGTCGTAGTGTGACGTGGCCATCTGATGTAGAGCTCAGCTTCGCTCACGGCCAGTGAGATCTCGAGCAGTGAATTCGAAGCGACCTATCAATCGGCTCGGGGACGTCAGGGATCGGTTTCGGCATGATATAATGATTGCAATCATGTCGGCCCCTAGGCAGATCTGCTTTTCAAAATGTCGCGGGAGTTACTCTTCAAACCCAGAAACTGCTTGGAGTCAGCGGGGAACAGCCACGGCTGAGAAGTTGGATTGCGCACGTCACTGAATCCAGTGCTTTGTCGAGAGCACATTCAAAGCCCGATTTTAAGTGCGTGCCATAATAATAGTGGCCGGGTTGCGCTGCCCGATTCGGCGAGCGAGTAAACAAGGTTGCGAGCATTGAAAAAAGTGAGTGGCGCATTCTGCCAGTGGTTCTGATCTGCATGCAAAAGCTGTACCGACGCTGAGACTCCGAGGAACAGCTTCTATATCGAACAGACACGTTCACACGTGTTTTCTGCATGGAAGATCCGGTCAACCGAGGAGATCAGTTCCATACCTCGTGCACGTTTAGTTGTGCAGGTCAGCAGGTAGTAATGGTTTTGATTTCGGAGCTGAGAAACCTCTGGGAAAGTGGACGGGCGGATCCGCGATCAGCTGCTTCTCCACATTGGTCACGATCTTCAACTCCAGGAGTCCGGCGACGGAAATAGAGAGGCCGTTGATATGCGTTCAGCGGAACAGCGGATCCGGGAGGTTCCGTTGGCTGAGCTTGTCCAATTAGAACCGGTCAACCGAGGCCCTGCACAATTCAGGTTTGGTCTATCCTGAGTGCCCAATACAAAGGCTGTCCGCTTTGTCAGCAGACGTTTGCCTATACTGGGTCTGTACTAGGCTATCCGCTTGCTGACGTCATGCATGCGGCTCAATACTGGAACGCTGCAGATTCCAGAGTCCAGAGTCCTAACAGTCAGCTTAGACGAACG